ACCAGACCTTTCTGGCAGACCAGGCACCGGCTAGCGCACGGGAACATTTCGTTAGCCAGTTTAACTATGGTTGCCAAACCAACAGTGACTAAGATTGTCCACCCGAGAAACGTGGTTTCGTTTGTGCGAAGCAGGACTTGCAAATTTATAGCGGTGCAAAACTTAACTCGTCATATGCATATACTCTCTCCGAGCACCGATACCTGGATGGCCTAAGTGACCCAATGTAAGCAATGTACTCAGCTTGTATGTGAGGATAGAATGGCATACCAGCAGACGTTGGCACCGCGTATGGCTCCAAACCACAAGCTCCAGTATCAACAGGTAAACAGTTTACGTAAGGTGAAACGCGGAATTCTTCTCCGTCAAACAGCGTACGGACTGACACGGACACCGAAGTACGCAGCAGATACTCTGCACCTGCAATATGCTGCAACACTTCAGTGCGATCAATGGCTGCCTAACCCTATGACCAGGGTTTTCTCACCCCATAACTCACATATCCTTCACGACAGAAGCTGTGCTGAGAGATTAGCATAGCTTTCGGCTCCATCTTTTCAACACTAATTTGACGAATTATACGTGCCCGACATGTAGAAACACGGGATGATTACCCCAATCCACAAGGTAGTTGTTCCGATCCATCCAGTAATCTTACCACTGGTACCTTCAAAGATCATGAGAGTGATTATTCCTGATGCGCTAACGACCTACTGAGAAGAAGTTAAACAACCATGCGCCGGAACAGCACGACTTTCGACGAAATCGATCGTGGACTACAAATCTAATACTAGTATGATCTAGCTGGATCGAAGCAGTAGACACTGGCATAGCTGATGTAGTTTATCTCGACTTTTCAAACGCTTTCGACCGGTTAAACAAGTACATTCATCATCAACTATTTGTGCTCTGCCCCTTCCATTTTATAATTGCGAACGCCTGAGGATATTTGTCGGAAACAGTATTCTTCGCAAAACTACATCCTGCTATTCAAAGTAAAAAGCTTTGGTATTGATGATCCTCTCCTAAGATGGATCAAACTTTCTCCTACACCGGTGCTAAGATACCAGTGCGTGAATCCCTGTCAGCATTCAACAAAGTTGAATGCGGAGTGCCACAGGGTTCGGTATTAGGAACACGATTAGTTTTTATGTATTGCAACGATAGTACATGCCTCATAAAATCAAACTGCCTGTCTTATGCTGAGGGGGATCAGTACCCCAAAGGATATCACAGTACTTCAAGCCGATCTGCATAGGATTTACAGGTGGTCAATCCAGAAGCTACTTAGATGTGGACATATATAGAGTGGTGCACTTACGGAACCAGTTGGTGTGTTCCTAAAAACTCGGCAACCATGAGCTACAAACGTTTTCTGGCGAAAAGGAACTGGGGTTTTTAGCCCAGGTCGACCTTAGATGATCGAATCAGATTGAAGCAGCGTTAAAAAGGGGCATCCAACACGTGGGACTCCTGAGGTGTCAATTCAGAAGAATCGACCCTACGATTTTCAACAGCTTTGGGTTCATACATACGTTCACATGTGGAATACATAGAACAGATCTGGCAGCCATAGCTGAGTGGAGATCTCACCACTTTGGAGTTGCTACAACGCCGGGGAACCAGAATGTCAACGTTTTGTACTATTTCCCGTATGAACGAAGGCTTCGAGTGCTCGGAGTCATCAGCGAACAATATCGGCGATTGCTTGGCGACCTCATTTTGACTTGCCAGATCTGTAGAGATCCCAGCCACGTGTGCCGCCATTTGCTAGAGCGCAGTCACGCATGCTTTAACATGAGTGTCTGTCGGAGATTTCAATGCCGGTCAACTCACAGAATAGGCAAGAAAACTATTGTTTTACTCGCTTAGGTGCAGAATGCTCTCCGTACCTCGTGTTCTAATTTGCAAATGCATGAATTCTTCTCCACTGGGTGTGCTGTTCTCCTGTTAATTTCCCCGGACTTCCTCAAAAGGATTATACTTTTGTTGTGGGATCACTAAAATCTATTCCCCGAAGCTCTGGAATAAGGAGAGAATCCCTCGTTGATTTCGTGGTTAGCAAACATTTTAACGCATGGTTTAACTTACCATCCAAGATTCTAAACGACTTTTCTCACCCCTTAGAGATTATTTAAGCAAATACATCTATTTCTTCCACGTGAACCAAAATTTAAATTTTTATTTTATCGTACTTCGTCGAATCGCATCTACGAAATGTTTTATCTCTCTCGGTTGTTAGTGGACCCAAAAGTGATGATGCAACATTGCGAGGACGTTCGATTATTTGAAAATGAACACTTTGTTGTTCGTGTCATTGCACATCATTTTCTCACCGAGTCTATGCTGTGGTATGTCCGCAGTGTTAGCGTAAATTGCTGAGCATGTCCCCACACCGGTGTACAAAGCATATCTTGACTTGAAGTTCCATGTTTTCCACCTCCAGTAGATGTTCACCAGGAGACGTCAGAATGTTCACTAACGTCCTAGTTGTCATCATGCATTATGGACTTACAGTTGATAACACGTATACAGCGGTGAGTCCACACTGGTGTGAACCTAATTTTGCTGACAATTTTCCACAGTTTGAATTCTCACCATGACCATCCTACGGGACCTGTTAAGCTTTAGATTCCTTACCCGTACAAAATCATTGCTCTCCATTATTGTTCCACTGTACCTGAGCGGGCGCTCCTAGATAACCACAAGAACTGCCAAATACTGTTCTCCACTTCCAATCACTGATGGCCTAATCCAAGGTGGCGTACTCGGTCATTTGCTTTTCCTACTCTATATAAAAGCTATCAGCGTGTGCATTAAACATGGCCGATCAATATCAGTTGCCGACATTAGGATTGTTTATGGTTTTGTACTAAACGAACTCTAGAGCACAATAGTGCTCACATAAGAGGATAAAGATTTACTTGAGAAGGTGTGATATACAGCTGATGAAGTTCTCAGCTGATATATCAATCATCATGTGCTGCCCATGTTCGTTCCATGGAGAGTTGTTAGTAAGGAGCTCGACTGTGATCATGCACTACAACACTTCCAACTGATAGTTGCAGTGCCGAGAAAGAGCATACATATCTTTTACATACAAGTTTGTTACCGATCGATTGTAAAATGTTTAGGTTTGATTTGCCGCCTCCTATTCTCCATCCATATCCCCTTGCACTCGTCTGTCAGATGAGCTACAGCGCTGATGTCCGCATTACCTGTTACCGTCTTGTGTAACCATTTGAATATAGTCCGCTGAACACGGAATACTGTACTGTGGGAACAATTCGAAATTTAAGCGTATACAACTCCATCAGATTATGAACAAACATGTTATAGAAATAACTGTCAGCTGTTGACAAACTATCCTTTCTTCAAGATTTTACGTAGTATTGTCAAATGTCTGACATAGCATCACCGGGCTCACAAATTTGCGATGTCCTGGTCAGTGTGTAATTGTTCATTGAATCGACGTGTGGCAAAATGAAAAATCCAACAACGTCTTAAACTGCCACACAAATTTGCCATCCACCACTTGTTCCGGCAGACTGTACCAAACATTAACCACTCTCCGTTCGAAGCACAGGAGGTGGGGTAATCGTTTTATATCTGGCACTACAAGCTTGTACTGGTGTCCGCGTGTGCTACATGACGTTCTCAAATAAAACAGCAGCCTCAACATGGGGAAGTCGCCGAGATGTATTATGCGGTAGATCACCACGACATCGATTCGACACCGACGATTGGACTAGGTATGGAGTGCTGGTTTCTAACACTGGTCTTCGTACTGCAATCCTTGTAAATTCGGAATGGGCCTGATAACGAGGTGCTCAAAGTTTAAGGCCAGTCAGAACATCTATGCCGCGAATGTATGGGCTCCCAAAAGTTCATAAAGAAGGTGTACCACTGCGTCCAATATTGTCCATGACAAATTCACTGTACCATCCACAGCCAGAAATGTTAGAACGCACAAGAAAGCGGATTGCCAGACGTAGTGTTCGTGGTAGTTTTACCCGCAAGAGAAGAAAATGTTCTCACTAGATGTAACTTCCCTATTTACAAATGTGCCGCTGCTGGAAACTACAGAATGCTTATAAAACTATGTGCACGAGAACAATGTTCATCTAGGTATACCACTACTAAGCCTGAAGAAAGCACTGCTGAAATGCACTTATAGTGTTCAATTCCTTTCCAACGGCATCTATTATAGGCAGAACGACGGAGTCGCAATAGTGTCTCCACTCGGATCAGTGCAGGTGGATAATTTTTTTGACAACCTGGAAAATGATTCACTAAGGCCACTCATCCACTGTTTCGACATGCATTATCGCTATTTGGAAGATATATTTTCAGTGATGAATAAAGAGTTAAGTGTAAAAGGTATAGTGGTAGAGTTTGATAATGCCCACACTGGCCAAACAGCAGTCAGCCTAACCGTCAATTTGACATCGGTGTCGTCAGTGGGATTACGTAACCCCGATCGGTCTGTGTATGTGTGCCTAAGAGAGCAATGAACAATCGGCTGTCTGACCATTGACCTTCCTCTGAACTAACCACAATGCATTTCCTTCGTATTTTAACCTTACATGATTTGTACCGGCCCGTAGATCAACCATTGAAAACAACTGTTTGCCTCAGACTATTGTTCTTGATGAATCAGTGGGAATGTTCCACATGTTGAAACGTTCTAGAGTAGAGTGTTCATGTGGATTAGGAACCGAGGGGGCCCCAGCACCGTGTCTTGGGGCACGGCACTTGTAGAGGGATACCAGTCAGTCAGATTGTGTCGACTTGTACCCTCCACTTCCGTCCGAGGAGAGTCCAGGATGCATTGGTACAGTATGAGGAGGACCTCATGGTTTACGCTGTCGAACGCGGCGAGTTGCCACTTTCTTTCACTTGGGCTAGAATGATTCAACGTGACAAAAGTGGACACAGGTTGACGGTGCCTACTGTGGTAAGACGCTAACTTGTACACACGAATGTGACAACGAAGACAGCCACAACAACGGTGTAGTTGTTTATGCGCAAAGAGCGATGTACAAAAAAGACACGGAAATCAGAAAAACTGTGAATCTTGACTAAGAGCACTAGCAAGCAACAAACAATGATATCCCTGCGCCCGTTCTTCTTTGTTAAGAGCCACGTATAGTCTTTGGATTCCAGGACGGCTTGATAAACAGTTGGGTTGACCAACGATCGCGTGAAGTATGTAGGTTTCCCAAGTAGGTTGATGAAGATCCAAGGAAGACGGAGTAGGAAACCACCGCCGGACTGAGCTGGTGAATTCAAAATGATGAATCTTTCGTTCGCTACTTGCATTCGTTGGCTATATCGGAAAATAGAATGATACAATGTGGTGTTGAGACAATACGCAGCACAAAATTTTGCAAATACAGTCATTACTCCAGATCATAGTTAAAGCAGAATGATAAGGTAGAAAGGCGTTGTGCACAGGAAAGCTGACAACTATGGTGAATGCAGGTTTTCATGGGAGGAATTACACAAGCGATAATGATCGATGGTGTGCGGCGCTTGGACCAAAGGGAGGTAGGAAGCCTCGTGGTCAAATGTGCCAGATGTGAGTTTGGTTCTACCTATGGACGTTATAAGTGGAACGGAAACCACCAACTGGTTGCTGCTGGACAAAGTAAGACAAGGAACTAGGCTTCAGTCTGGTAGCATGCTGTGGCCACAAATAACATGACAGTCAGTGTTCTGTGTATGGACTGAAGTCTAGTGACAAGGGTTTAGGAAAACAAAAGTGCTTAGTAGCCCACAGCGCTGCACACCTACGTGATGACCGCATGGCTTGCAATGTCGACCCATATTAGGCGGTAGACTAGTGCAGTAGGGATGATCATGTTCATCCAAACGCAGCCACGACAACTAACCAAAAGGTGAATGGAACGGCGACAGCTGTGAAGTGAACACATAAATCCTGAGGAAATACATTACCTCGGCGAATGGTGATGTAACGAAGTTGTCTTACAGAGGCTGATCAGCATCCTAATCACATGATAGCTGAGAGAAACCAATAACAGTTCAGACAGCTAAGGCGAGCGAAGTCGAGTCAGTTGAATGGAACAACCAAGGCCTTATGCACCATGGGAATGACAGAGTAACCAGATGATGCTAGATACATAAGCATCCCAACGAAAATATGTGAGCCACATCGTTTGTGGTGACACTGCTGGGTACACCTCGATAGTATCTTCAGAGCAGCCTACGTTAGGTACACCTAGAAGTGCCTAACAGCCGAAGTAAGACTGACGTAGCTGTTCAGAATGGAAACAGTGCACATTACAAATGGAAAATTGGTCGATTGATAGAGTTGGATTCCCCTGGATATTCAGTAAATATAAAGAGCTGTCAGAAGTCATGTTTTCAATTATACACACAGTAGAATGATTTGCATCTGGATGATAAATAGTGTGCTGAGAGTATTTGGCGAATTTGTGAACGGTTGACTATGAACCATCCACGAGACAAGACAAAACACAAAGAGTATGAGAAGGGGGAAGCGAACTGAATGAAGAATAGTGCGCAGAAGGGAAACATAAACAACAATGGGACGACGACGACGACGACAGGAACTAACCGGTTCTTCCACGCCGAACAAAAACTGGAAATCGGTGAATGCTTTGGAAGAGCGATCAATCCTAATCCAACCGGGTAACTGCGGAGCCCATGTTACCCTGCCACATACAGCGTTGAAAGACAAGTCGTACAAGAAAGCGAGACATTCATCCGATAAAGTCTGATTAACTAAGGGATAAAAAGAAATAAGATGGACACGGACAAAGGCCCAAAACAGATAGTTAGGGGTGGACAGTAGAACTGTGGACAAGGAGGGATACTAGTAGTGTCACATTAATATTAACAGCCAGACAAGATGGCACAGTGGCGTGCTAGATGTGACATGCAAAGAAGTGGATTCAATGTAGATTGAGATATGCAATCCGCATTGAGAACTTTGTTCACTCGGTCATTCTGATCACAACGAGCGTATCCGAAATGGAGGTGTTTCGGTGTTGGAAGGAGCAAAACCGGAACACCTCCGGTGGAGCAGATGTTTGGGGCGCCAAGTAAACAGTGACCAATAAAATCAAAACAGACATTGTGCGCCAAACTGGGAATAGTTTCGGCATTTTATACTAGCATAGAGGATGCAAACGGGAATTACACTGGCATGAAATTATAATTAAAGCGTAATAAGGAAAGAAATATACACGCGTGGTGCCGATAAGTTTTTTGGAGTCCACAAGAAGACGGGATCATTACAGTAAGAGAATTATGATAAGATGTTAGGCGGAGGGACAAAATCTTAAATTCAGTGGTTTTGATGTATCGTCATGTAACGTTTAAAGAAGTAGTCACACGAATCAAAATGCTTAGTAACGATGAAGTCAACCAGAGACTCCCTGGGGAATGAACAACATCTGGAGATGAGCTTAGTGAAACGCACAATCAGTGTAAAGTCTACAATGCATCTGAATAGGCGTGGAACTGACTGGAAGTCCATGATTTGAGAAAGTTTTGAATACAAATCGATTTTGGTAGGTTTCTTATTGTGGCAACGTTTCGCACTTGACGCAAGAGCCACTTCAGGCCAGATGATTGGGTACAAAACTGGCTTAGCTTCCTCATGGCAAAGTAGGGTGAAGATTGCGAGAGATAATACGAATGGGTGGATAATAGTGTTACAGGTCAATAGGTCAAGTAGCCATTCTAATGTAACAAAAAGCGTAAAGCATTCCGCGTCACAGATTAGGCATTCCTGTTCCTGTTTCTGCTACTGACTCACGCTCCGATCTGAGTTCATCCTCGGACTCCTTTTCTTACTAGGCGCGTCCGATAACTCCAACCCGTCTGTTTTGTTCACACAGTGACTAATTATAGTAAACGCAACCGTCTCAGCAAGTAACCTTTGGCCTGTCTTTCGTAATCTCCTTTTAGTTGACACTATAGCAGTCGGCTACGTGTCCCGTGTCTAGCGGCTAGATGGCCACCACCGAATCGCTTAGTAGGGTCTTATATTCAAGCTCGTTTCTCAGTGGAGGTGAAATGTGCCTCTTGTGTTCTGACGTCCTCGTGCGTAGCTTTCTTGCGATTTTGCCAATTTATACGTGTCTACAGTCTTTGCATCTGATTCTATAAATACTATTAGTCGCCGTTGCTCTTAGAAGCGGATCTTTCAAATATACCAGTGGTGTAAGGAGCGCCTGACCATTTTGGAATACCTTCCTTGTTTTCTTCTTCTTTAGTACTCGTCTGATTGCTTCAGAGATTACCGATTTATGGGCGATTCCAACCGTCCAAATACCCTCCGTTGTGTGTCGCGAAAGTGGATATAAAGCTAACTGCAAATGACGTTTCACTAATCGCGTCGGACACTCACTATCAACTAACTTGCTCACCGCCCCCTTACAAGCACTCTTCCAGTCCTCTACCTCTGCACATAGCGTTTTGGGTCTGTGAAACACAGGATGTGATAGCAGCATAGGCGTGCACTGGATGACCCGAACTATAATGGAGTACTCCGTCCGTATCGGTCAGTTTCCTATATATCATCGTCTTCCATTTATATGAACCAGGCAATCAAGGAATGGCAGTGTTCCACTGCAAGTGTATAGTTCCATAGTAAAGTTTATGTTCTCATTCATAGCGTTCAGATGGTTTAGAAAGTCTTCCTTCATATCCCGCTTTATAATCACAAATGCATCATATACATAGCGCCACCAAATGTTTGGCGAACTAATGGAGTTTGTCGGCGCCCTCTTCTCAGTTTTCCAAATACAGACCTGCCAACAAGGGGAATGTTGGTGATCAAACGGCAAGTCCCTTTTCTTGAGGGTACAGTCTCGACTTGAACGTAAAACATGACATACTGAGGCACACTCTTAGTCCCCCAATTATCTGGTCTACTGTGAGCTTCGTGCGCCTCCAGGCTATTGTCCTCAGTCAGACAGCACTGTGCGTCATCTTCGAGTACTTAAGTGAATAGGGAGCTAACGCCAAAGTTAACCATTATTTCCTCTGACACGACCGTGAGACTCGCTACCTTTCGCGAGAACTCACAAGAATTCCGTACGAACGTATCTGTTCTCCCTGCTAGAAGTTGCAACAAAACTGTCAAACATCCGGCTAGTTAGTACGTCGGAGAACCCATATCATCTACAGTGGGCCGAACGGGAACGTCGGGTTTGTGTACCTTCGGCAGCCCATAGATGCTAGACGGAATCCGTGATTTCGGGTATACATTGCGTATCAGTTACCCGGTCCGAAGTAGTCGTTCACACTCCTCAGATAGTTTTCGACCTTTGTTTTACTCTGATTTATTGTGGAAGATACAGTATTTTCGATTACATTGTGGGACCCTGTTGCTACATACTTCGAAGTGTTCTTTATCACTACGGCTTTCTTGATGATGATGGATCTTCTCTTAGAGCTTTTCATGCAGTACGCTCCGCCGTTGTTAGATAGATTCCGTAGGCCTCTGAAGATGTGCAAGAATATTCTCAAATGTTGAAAGGGGTAATTTCGTCACTACGGTCTCAATGTTAGGAATAACGTCTGCTGTAGTTAGTTACTATTCATATACAGAAAGTTCAAACCCTTTTCGGGTAATAGACGTTCTGTCTCACTCAACACCCTATGTGACATGTCAACTACATTGTAATAGTTGATGCTAGATCCATACACATCATCGAGACAAGTGATCCTGGTATGCAAAGACATCAAGGCATTTTGTAGAAGACCAGAGGAGTAATACAGTTAGTAAGGAAGAATACAGGCAGTCAGAACAGCATTTTGAGACTCAAAGCATAAAGGAGAATTTTCGTGAATTGAACAACGTTTGGTCAACGTGTATTGACCATGAGACAAATATATACCACAGTGGATGAAATGGATATGACGTGGCCGCTCACGACCATAGGACGAGAAGTATTAATTCAAAGTCAGACGTGTGTCAGTGCGAAAGAAATAGAAGGGGTTACATTGCGGCATGTAGAAAAGATGAGAATAAGGGATCGGGACGACGACCTTCGATGGAGATCATCCTAACCGTGTTGGGGAGCCATTGGTGATTCAGAAGTTGGAGCGGTGCTGCGTAGAACTACGCCGCCTGCGTACTTACATCGAATAAAGTTGGGAGGAATTGGAACCAGTGGGAACAAAACAAAACCAGATTGCAGACACCGACAGTAAACCCACAAACGCAGATTCATGCATTACCCTGCTAAAAATAAGATGGTCCATGGAAGTATAAAAATGATATTATGGTAGTGGTAGGCACCTGTAGTTGTTGCAATGAGACTGGACATTAAACGTGGTGCGATGGTTTGTGTGCCTCAGCGATCCATTGAACTACGCACCTTCAGAGTCATCCGCCCCAGAATTGTTAACTGTTAGAGTCCAGACAAACACAGTCCTTAAAACGAAACTGCTGTGGCCCACTGCCAAAATCGCACTGCCTTGAGGTCAGGTGGTCAACCAAAGGCTTTGCCTGATGATACTAATCGTTCTCCTGTCTAGACCTGACATTATCTTGTTTATGCAATGTAATGCAAACCACTTCAAAAGATTTCTTGTCGCTCTGGCCGTTGCACGGCGCCCTATCTGCTGCATCGACCAGGGTGGATAGGGGTAAGGATGCCACTGCTCAGACTTCCCTATCTTTTAATACTCCTTCTTACGCTATTTCATCCTATTCGTTTAGTCCCAAATATACACTTATCCGCTGTTTTCAACCCCTACACCTTGTTTTGATAGACGTCACGTCTCACCTCTTGACAGGTTCACACCAAAACATACGGACATCCGCAGCTCATCCACTTCTGTTTGGAACCCTTGCTCCTTGCTTAAACTGGTGTGCTTCAAAGTGCGCACTTTGTTACAGATTAGCCAACGGACAGCATTTGCCCGAAAACAAGAGGCCCAGTCGATAGAAATCCGCTGCTGGTCGAAAAATCGCCTGAAAGACACGGGTTCTGTGATTACCCTACTATAACCCCTTCTTGTAACACTGGCGCCCCTATCTCATTGCGTATACACGAAGTTAGTGTAGTTTTGAATGCTGGTCAAGCTGTGTGGGCATTGCTCGGAGCCTCTGGGTTGAAGCTGTTGTGGTAGACTGGATTAAGTCGAAAACCGGATGTGTGCTGTTCGACTATCTAGCTCGGTCAAAGTTTCAAAGTCGCACCGGGACAAACGATGTTTGTTTGTCATGGCTGCCTATGCCCACACAAACAGTAGTGTTGACTTGGCGAAAGATGACTTGTAACAATAACTGAAAGGGCTCCTTCATCACAGAAAAAGTACAGATAGTATAATGCTGGCTAGTGACACGAACACCCTATTTGGGTGGCCGATACGATGTGGGCTCCCTTAATGACAACGGTGAGCGGTTGCTACACCTGTGCGAAGAAGCCAGTCTATTTCTCGTGAGCACTAACTTCCAACACAGAACTCACACATAGTGCCCACCAGTCTCGGAGCGGCCAAAGACGCAAATCGATCACATTGAGATCAGTTACTGCTGAAGAAGCTGCGTACATAACTGCCACTTGATTTGAAGCACGAGCGTGGACGCTGATCACTAACTTGTGTGTGCTTATCTTCCAGTTCGCTTCGACGAACGCCCGAGACAACGTTGCGGGCGCATAGGCATTTGCCAACATTGGAAGCCGGATGTTCCGAATGCGCATCAAAGTGTGCTGGCAGTGGGTTGATTAAGCACTTAATGAACACGGTTGATGAGCAATGCCCGCAATTTCGTCAGATGTTGCTAGCAATAAAAATATTTCTTCATGTGGCAAATCAATTTGCTAACTTGAACATTGGGTCTCTACGCAGTCTCTGGAACGACTTGATGCGCGCCGATACATTCCTACTAAAAGCGAACATAATGAAACTCGTAAAAATCTGTGAGCAAAACTGCGGGGTAGTCTGGAGAGAGATCGCGAAGCCTAGTGGTCCCATCATGTGTCGAAAGTGGAAACAACCGCTTCCTTTGATAAGCGGGTAGCATCAGACCTGATGTTGGTGAGACTATATACGACGAGAGTGAACAGATAGTCTACAACCTGTCAAAGCACTTGGGGAATTGGCATGAGTAGATGAAAAGAAGTTTAATCTGCCGGAGCTAGCATATTCACTGCTAGGCAGCGATTGCGCTGCTAAATGGGCCCGTTCCATTGGAACCATCCTCTCAAGTAGAGGCTAATGTGAGATGCGGCTGATGAAGTTGAACAAAACCATGAGATCCGATAATCTTACTCAAGCCCTCTCCAAATTCGAGAGACATGACTATACAGAGGATGTAGACAATCTGATGATGAAACTGTAGAAGCAGGAAACGTCGAAATTGACTGGAGCTGCTCCGTAAATTGTCCCAATTAACAAGGTGCACGTTCTGAATTCACTAATTGTTGAAAGCTCAGGCTGTTCCCTATCGTCTATAAGTTACTTGGCTGTCATACTTTAGAAGTTGACTGGTGCGTGAAAACGTCAGATTCATGAAGAGAATGTTGGGTTTCACCGAAATCGAGACTGTATTGACCATATTTTCACCATATGCCAGTTATTAGAGCACCGCCGCTTATATCAGCGAGACACAGTAGTCGTGTTTCTCGATATCTAGGGTACCTTAAACCCGGCCGGTAGCCGAAAGGTTTACACGCATTCCTTGTAGTCCCGAGATAACCGGTTCAAATCCGACTATGTGAGGGCGATCACTCGGTACAGCCAGCCCATGCGCCACCGGTGGTAGTCGCGCGGCAACAAAGCGTCGGTACGGTGTGTTACGATACTACAGATATCATTTTGTGTGCCGTTTGGGATTGTTTGATTATGAAACGTGTGCCGGAGAAATACATAAACATTAGCTGAACACTATACACGTGTGGTTTGAGTAGAGTGAAGTCTTACGGCACACTGTCAACTTAATATCTCTATTTGTGTGAGGCAGGAATGTTCGCTGTGAAACGCTACCTTTTTATGTCACAAGTAAATAAATAAAATGTTTGTTCTTCCCTACGGGAGGCATTCCTGCATAGGCATGATCATGCAGACTGCGTTAATTGGAGATGACATTGAAGGTGCGTTCCTCAGTGAAAGGCATGACAAAAAGGCGAAAATGTTTATTTCCTAGGGAAAACGAGAAGGCATTGTAGTTGGTCCACTTACCATGTTGAGTGAAGTCATGCAGCAGCTCTCTTAGGCAAGTGAAGCGGGAGCTGAAGGTAGCCAACAGGGTAAGCACCTCATAGTAAGTCGCGATGAAGCGCTAAAGAAGGAAAGTGGAACGGAGGAAAGAAGGGACAACATGTTGCCCACCGGGTAAAATCATCATGCTTATCTTGCATGCAATGAATGGCGTAGAGAGTAATAAGCAAAAAAGAGAAGAGAATCGAGACAACGTAAAAATTGTCCAATCAACAGCCGCTAAGGCTAATGAAGTTATGTTAAAACCGCGAGATAAAGTCGAATCAAAAATGAGACTTGCCTCTTCACAACTGTCGTAGCCATCAAACTGAGTCATATTTTCGTCCAGACGAGAGAGTAATCCGGCAGAGTCACAAACCAGTTGTTCTAGTGACAGGCGATAAAACGAGTGCAGTCGTGGAGGAGGCACTGAGGATAACAGAGACAAGCATGCGATATCTTAATGATGAATGACACACGGGACGTGGAACAGTGGCGTCGACAATAGAATTCAGCAAAAAACCAGTTTGCCATATACGAAGTGATTCGCTGAAGAAAGATAAAACACCAGTGTAGTACAGAGATATTTAATAAATGGGTAAGTGAACGGGACAGCGAATCATATTAAGATGGACATCTCTTTTAAGTGGCTAACGTTCGTGACTCACAGACCCAAGTTATTACCGAAGGTTAGCACTAGCACACAGGTTGCAAGGCCAAACACCAAGTCATTTGGATAACATCGTGGTTAAAAGCTCATGGTAAAACACATACCGAAAGTAAAGGGATTCGAGAGAAAACACAATAAAAACATTAAGCAGATGCCTCACAATCCATCTGGGGTTGTCCGGGCGAGAACTGCAGAAGCACAAAATGAGCGCATCATCGATTTGAGAACGCACGATGGAACAAGGTACTACCAGCAACTAAGTCAATGTGTTAAATACATCGACACAGCAGGAGAACGTGGAACGCAAAGTAGTGTTAGAGCAAAAAGTAGTGTGGCGGTAGTCGTAAATAACGTTTCGTGTGAGGATGGTAAAAATACTCACAGCACTGCGTCCGATGCATCTGTATGGCATACTAAATAAGCTGCGTTGGCTCGGGCACGTGCCACGTATGCCCCGTCACTGTTTATCGACTAGGGCCTTATTTTGTCTGCCAGATGTAGTGTGGCTCGCGGTGGACAAAAGTTGATTTGGCAGCGGGAAAGGAAGCCAATGACTACCCAACTCGGTGCCGTCGGTCCCTCCCGACTTCCAGGCTGGAGCCCACGTGACCTGGCTTGTGCATGGCTTGAGACAGTACAACCCATGGCTCGCAGTGGACACCGGTGGCGTGTCTGCTGTTGTTTCCCAGTCCGATTGCCTGTTTAATGTGTGTTTGGTGCTGTGTTATCTGCGGGGTAATGACTGATTATGACGCGGGGCAGTGAAAGCCGAAAGGCAGCTGCCTCGCTGATGCCGCGTTCTATTTGCACGATAGCCAGTTGTTTGTAATGGTATGTTGTCGATAAGATGTAGGCTCCTTGACCCTCAGTGTTTATTTATGCCATTAAGGCTTTACCGTAGGTTCCGCTTTCAAGGGTGACATCCCTACACTGAAGAATAGCACATCTATAAGAGAAGTTACCATGCTGCTGAAGTGGTGGTCATTAACCGAACTCGTAATTTGCCTGTTCCTCCAACGTAGGAAGTTCAGCCGATCGAAGCCAATTCACACTGCATATACCAATTATTATGTGACTCGGATACAGTTACAAAGGCAGAGCTGATCGGTCTTTGACGTCCCGAATAAAGGAACTCGCACCGAAGTGGGTTCAACGTGAAATTGACCAGCATTCCTGCCCCCTGAATCTTCGTCCTCGCGCAGGCCGCCAGCTTCTTAAATAGGGCGACACTTAGGACGAAGGTAAACACAGACTCCTTTAACGGCCAAAACAAAAGCTCATGCAAGGTCGCTTCCAAGCTTAAGAAGCTGAGATCACTGTACTGCAAAAACGAAGACATGGCCACATTAATCCAAATACACGAAACCTTACTGAAACTCGAACACCAAACTCAACAGTCCAGGATTACCGGGGAAACCCGAGCCACCACTAATAGAAAGAAAGGTCGTGTCGTGATGTTAGTACTCAGAAGAAAAAATCCGAAAAAGCACCACGAAATTCCAAAGCTAGTTTTAAACGTCGGTAAGGTAACAGACGATATAGTCTAAATATGTGATTCGATGAATTGCTACTTTGTCGCTGCACCTTCTGTATCCTCTCCTCTCATTCCAAGAAAAACGGAAGAGGTATTATATACCATTCCTCTGAATCTAAAGTACGTGCAGATGACTATAACATCTATCAAACCGAGTTTCCAACCAAGACCTGATAGTATTCCCCCTGCAGGTATAAGATTAGGTGGTAAAAACATCTCTACTCATGTTGTATATTTGCATACTGTCACTGAAAACTAATTGCTTCCCGCCTCAGTGAAAAAATCCATAATTTTACCGAAACACGGTCCACGAGATAAAATGTCAAATTATCGACAGATAAACAATACTTCTGCCGCTTCTAAGGTCTTAAAGAGAATCGTCAAGACTCGGGTAACACAGTTTCTGACAAAACAAAACCTACGCAGCAGTTCTCAACATGGGTTCACAACAAAGCGTTCTTGTGTCACATGCCAATTACAATTCCTCGATCATGTTACAGCAAACTTAGATGACGGCATTGTCATCATCAGCATCATCCTTCTGATATGGAAAAGCGTTTGACTGTGTACAGCACAAACCATTGTTGGAAGTGCTGGAGTCCTATGGAATCAGCTGGAATGAGCTGGTTCGAATCATATATTAACGGCGGAACACAAGGAGTACAGATTGGTCAATACTGTTCTACCTCCAGAAATGTCACGAGTGGTGTTTTTCAGAGCAGAGTATTGGGCCCATTGCTTATCTTCATTTACATAAACGATATATGTGATTACACTAGACACGGGCGCCTCTTTGTATTTGCGGACGACATCATACTAGTGTACTCATTCCTACCTGACCATCTGGAACTGTGCATAAAAAATGTGCGCGAAGACTTATCATCACTGGACAAATGGAGCGAAAGCAGGTCAATGAGATATTGTGCAGATAACGCTCAGATACTGTGCCACAAATGCAGTATACCAGAAGCATCCATCGCTCTTACTGGTACCCACATCCCAACTGCATATTCCGTTCGAGAGCTAGGAATTCGATATTCGAGCAGCTACAACTTCTCTGAACACATCTCACATCAAGTAACGAAAGCGAAGCAAATTTCAAGCTATATCACTAGGTCATTTTCCCTATCGCAAACACGACTTGAAACATTTAAACTCATTGTGCGACCAACTGTGGAGTATTGTACGATCATACATAGCCACTTAGGTAAAATTGACAGAATTGCTTTGGAATACGTCCAGCGCTCATTTACCAAAATGCTCATGGGGCACTCATCATCACTTAGCTATGAGGAACGATGTTGCTGCTCGAGCCACTGTGGCTTCGATGGCTGAAAGTCAATCTCACTCTTCTCTATAACATAATATTCTCGCGAGTTTGCTCAACCAGTACGACCGTCAAATTACATAATTGCTCAACCTATCCCACCCGTAATGGGAAATATCTTCTATTCTTACAGAGGACCAAGCAAAATAGCCGCCTACAATTCTTCTTGGTGAGGTACGCTCATCTGTGGGATAAACTCCCGTTGTTAGTAAGGACCTGTGCGAGTCTGCCCAGTTTTAAAACTAGTTTAGAAACGTTTGTTTCCATGTCAAATGTGCTCAAACTTTTCGACCTTCAACAATCTACGAACGCGCTTGTGGAACCGGGTCCAACATATGACAATAGTAACTAACAAATAATGTTACTTATTACATACGCAACAAAACATTGCATAATTGTTCCATATTGAATGCAGTTCATAAATGAAATGATGACGAAACCCGCTGTACAAATGATCGTTCCACAAAAGGGAACGTATCCCGCTTGTCGGGAAATATACCTTTATTTAGACCTACTGGTCACGCGTCACCGGATACAGCTCGGATCAGTGTTCACAACCGCGTTATGTCCGTTTAATCCTCGGTTCCTCCGTTTCGTCGAGGCTGAGGCAATAAGCCGGAGGGGTGTCATGTGACATTAAAGTAAAGTTTATGATGGAACGAGGTAGCGAAGATGGAGGTATGACTCATTAATATCATCGGCCGAGAGCCTTGACCAGAACAACTTTTCAAACTCCGGATCTGTTTGTTCCGCATATTGCTCTGTGCATACGTATAGTTTCGTGCTTTTAATATAAAATTTAGTCGCTTTTCGATTCCGAATGTGTGGAGTATAGGGGCCCACTGTGCAGTTTTCCAGGTGTCCCTATATTGGTCGAGCAACTCACCATTTCGTCATCATATACGCTAAGCTATTAGTGATGACAAAGTAAACTCCCTGAGGTATTTGTTGCGAAATTGTCTGATACAGAATATAGGCGGGTACCTGCTTACTGTCACGCACACTCTCCTGTGACGAGGGTCGGTTTATACACTGGTCGGCTTACATTACTTATTGGAGTTCAGCACGATGTTGTCAATACTTTTTGAGAGTCGGAGTAAAATGCATCCAGAAAAAGTCGACAAAACTCGCGAGACAACAAGAAGGGAAAAGGTTCTACATCGAGAAGCCCCGCGCGTTCACTACAACAGGCGGACACAGTCACTCCTATGTGCGAAACAGCCCACTTGCTTGCCGGCCGCAAGCTCTCCAGAGCGATATCCAGCTGGTGTATCAGCGTTGCGTTGATCATATAACTTCTCAGTGGGCTATGAAGGTTGAAGATCCATAATGGTCCCGATATGGATCCATCAGACTGGGAAACGTCTGCTATCAGTTAGCTAAAACAGCGTACTGATGGTGGGGAAACCAATCTACATATAGTAATTTTCCAGGGAGTTCCTCGGGTTTTGCCGAATTCGGAGCAACAGGTCGATGGCACTTTATGCGTGCCCAGTGGTTCCTGCCGCGACCTGTGTTTAGCTTGTAACAAACTTTGCAGTTCGGTGAACAAACGTGACGAGGTGGTCCACCTCGATGCCGCTCAGCGACGGAAATTATCAGGACTCGCTGAGATCTGGCTGAATCCTGAAGCAACTCCTCGGGAAGTTCAGCTCAGTAGCCACTCGTGCTTCCGGTACGACAGAAGATCAAACGACTGCGGTGGTGAGCTGCTGTAAATCAGGTCTTCCATGCGCGGAAGACTGGTAAGCGATAACTGAAGTGATGGCTTATGAGAGCAACTGTGGTGTGTGACTCATCCTGTATTGCCAAATCTGAAGCGCAAACTCAGCTTCAATGCTTCGAGCATCGCGTGATAACACGCTGGAACCGGTTATCCGAGACAATGGTTAAGGTGA